CCCAAGCGAGTCCCGGCGGCTCGCAGCCGCCCGGGCCTCGCTGCCCCTGGCCGGCTCCGAGGCGGCGGCGAAGCCGGCTGCAGAGCGTTCCCTGCGTATGTGCAGGGGATGCTCTGCCACTTTTGGGGGGATTTAACTATCCCCCCCAATATTTTTTTCAGGTTTTAAGATTTTTGTGCACACCTGGGGACCGTCCCAAGTGTGCACAAAAATCTCCCTCCCCCCCAGGTGCCCCCGATGCACGGATTTAGGTATCTGCACACCAGGGGAAACTTCGGAATTAGATATATAGATAGAAAGAATAATCTCCATCAGGAAGACTGCTCTATCTGAAGACAGGGGTATCTGAGGACTCTATGGGAGGGGAATGACTCCTTTTCAGTGGTTCTTTCCATTGCCTTACAAGCCTCTTTATGGGAATTTTAAAAATGGCTCCCATTCTTTTCCTTTTTGCTCAATATACCTACATCACCAATAGGACCACCTTGTGCCAGTAATGGTGTGATATGGTATATTAGAGTGCCATTCTAGGATGTGGGAGAACCCACATATAACTTTTCTGGCATAGAAGCTCACTGGTGGACCTCAGGCCAGTCACACTCTCTCAGCCTAATCTACCTCACAGGGTTGTTGCACAGGCGTCAACTATGGGGGGCCCCTCTGGACTTCATGCCCTTCCCCAAAATTTTCCAAGGGTGAATGAGCCTCCCCCCCAGGCAACAAGTGCCAGTTCAAAACTTTCCTGCAGCTTGCTCTGTGCTGTTCCCAGCATTGCATCCCCTGTTCTCCAGTGTCTCCTATTTCCTGCTTGGAAAGAGGAGAGAGAGCCTTCCTTTGATTGGCTGAGGACTCCTCCCCCTTCTCCTCTGGAGAGGGAGGAAGATAGAAAGAACCAGGTGGTGGGAATGGAGTCGGAAACTCTTTTAAGAAGACTAGCAACATTTTCTTCCTTCCCCAATGTTTATGTTCTGGAGACTTCCAGGATGCCGGCATCCCCCCCATCCCAGCCAGCCTGGGCACTGAGCTCCAAAGTGAGGACTTTGCAAAAGAATGACACAGCCTTGAAGCTGCTTGTGTCTGGGGTCATTTCTTGCCATGTAATAAAAAATAAGGTAGCACTCTTTTCTTCCGTTTATCCCTGTGTCTGTCTGGGGTGTTGATTCTCTCACTCAGATGCTTTGAGATAAGGACAGTCTTTTTTTGTTAATTAACTCTGCTTTTAGTTTTCTGAGGCCCCGGTCACACGGGAGGTTTAGCCCCGCAAGAGGGACGGATCGGGGATGCAGCAAACGGGCGCGATCACACCACAACATCTGGGAAGCGGCACGCCCCCACCCCCGATCCGTCCCTTCAGGCCGATAACGTACAGCAAAAAAAAACCCTACAAAAGAGCAGTACCTACCTGAAACGCCGCAGCAAGCGCGGCCGTGGGATCACCGGCGCACCCGTCTTCAGGAGCATTCGAGGCTCCCAGCAGAACTGCGCATGTGCACACATGCACAGCCGGCTGCCTCGCTCTCCCTTCCGTGGCTTCCCCCGACATCTGATCATGCTGGGGAGCAACTGAGCCGCGGCTGAGGGGATCTGTCTGATCCCGCCGCCACGTGTCTCTTAGGGTGAGGCTCTAAAAAGCCACACTTTGGCTGCGTCATTTTCCCCCGTATGACTGGGGCCTGAGAGAGTTCTTTAGAGGTGTCCAGGTAAGGGCTTTCACTAGGTTATGGGAATGAAAGCTTGCAGCTTTCTTTTAGTTTTTCTGCTGAGTTGAGCTGTTTGAAAGGTCTGAAGTCCCTCCCCCCCCCTTTTACTGAAATGCTTCTCAGTTGCCTGAGTCCTGTTTCAGGCCCCCTTCAATGGCATGTTAATGATGCTTGTTGTCAAATAAACACTTTGGGGGAGTTTAGGATGAAGGACGTTGTAGATCCACGAATTAGGGTGTAATCCTAAAGATACTTTTCTGGCAGTAAACCCCATTGATTAAAGTTAGAGTTACTTCTGAGTAGACCTATTTGAGTTTGTTCTCTTAGTCTGATATCTTGTTGTTGTTGTTTTTTTTAAAAAAAACCCTGACTGGTTATATGCATGTGATTGTGATGAAAATCTGAAGTAATTATGGAAATTGCAAGTCACTAAGCTCATTCAACTGCAAGGATTCTTTGCTTTTGCTTTTGCTTGAAATCAGCTTAGATGCTCCTCACCTTTCCGGCAAAGGAAGCCTCGAGGGCACAAGTAGAGCTCCTTAAAGAGATCATCTTTGCATTTGTTGCTCCCGCCCTTGTTGTTATTGGCGGTGTCCTCCTGTGAGTTACATTTTGGCTTTATGGGTAGGTGGCTCAGAGGTGATGAAAAGTTGCTTGGGTTTCTCTCAGTGCACACCCTGACCATGAAAGGGGTAACTCTCAGGAAGTAAAGCAGAGGGTTCAGCCTCAAGAGGGCTTGTGGCTTTGCATTTTTGAACTTTTTGGTTTCAAATGGAGGTTTGAATCAAAACAACTGTTTCCCCCTTTCTGTTCCCATCCCCCTTTAAAGCCTTTTTAACTCTATGAATTTTATTGCATTGGTTTTGTATGGGCTGTTGCCTGTAGTGTGTGTGTGTGTATAAAACCATGCAAAAAGGTAATTTTACCTACTAACGTATCATTCAGAAGAGAACCTCCATGATCAGAAACAGTGTACCGCTGATTGCTGGACATGGGAGTGGAGAATGAAAAGTAGAGTTGTGGTTGTGAGACCTTCCTATGGCATCTGCCTGCCTATTAGTGGGGGCAGAATTCAAAGCTAAGTCTGGTCCAGCAAGGCTGTGTTTGCTTTCAAGTTTCTTCCTTCCTAGTGATGTAGAATTACCAGGTGTGTGTTGGTGTGTGCATGTGAATGCTTATTTCACAAAACTTTAATGTGATCTGTCTTCTAGACAGTTGCTAAAAAGAAGACAGGGCAACCTTTACAAACATGAACATCCTACTCTATGTAGGGTTGCCAGCCTCCAGGTGGCACCTGGAGATCTCCTGCTATTACAATTGATCTCCATGTGACCAAGATCAGCTCCCCTGGAGGAACTGGCTGCTTTGAAGGGTGCACTCTTTGGCATTCTACCCTGCTGAGGTCCCTCCCCTCCCCTCCCCTCACCCTAACCCCTCCCCAGGCTCCCCACCCCAAATCTCCAGGTATTTTCCCACCCAGAGCAGGCAACCCTAATTCTGTGTATTTAAGGTATGTGTTCTGATGAAAAGTATGAATGATCAGGGCTATTTTTGGGCAGGAACGCACAGGAACGGAGTTCCGGCTGGCTCCCAAGTTGGCCATGCCCAGCAGGAACTCATTAGCATAATAGGCCACACCCAACAGCAGAAAGGAATTAGGATCGCCTACATTAGGGGTGTGTGGCCTAACATGCAAAGAGAACAATGCAAAGAGAACAATGTAAGTTGCTTTGGGTCCTCGTTGGGAGAAAGATGGGGTTATAGAAGAAGAAGTCAATAAATAAATAACGTATAGAACTTTGCCCTACGTTGCAAGATTGCTTCTTGACAGTATTGGGTAGCCACTGGAGAAATCTCAAGTAGAGTTGCCAATGACTCTAGAAATTCCTGAAGCTTTGGGGACAGAGGTTGCAGAGGGCAGAAATTTTGGGAGAGGAGGGAGCTCAGTAGTGAATGGAGTCCATAGAGTCCTCCCACTCAAAGCTACTATTTCCTCCAGGCAGGGAAGGTGGTCTCTGTTCCCTGGAGATTCCCAGTTGAAATTCTGGGAGAACGCCAGGCCATACCTGGAAGTTAGCAACCCTACATGAGACACTTGGGGGGGGGGGTGTCTGTCTGTCTGTCTGTCTCTCTCTCACACACACACACACACATAAACACACACACCTTCTTCACCAAACATAAAATGCAACAGCGCCTTGTCTCTCGAAGCCACAGTTTCGGCTCAATTCGAACGTTTACAGAATCCCTACCCCAAACCCAGTCCACTCTGGGCTTCCTAAATCTGACAACGAGCGAGCCACCAAACCAGATCAGCAACAAAACGGTCTTGCAAAACGAGCTGCGGTTCGGAGTGAAACTTTTGCACAATGACTTTCTGGGAACGCGGTCGCGCTGCGGGGGAAAAGGCACGGCGTCAGTCTGGGAAAGCGAGTCCAAAGCGCCGGCTTCCGAAACCCCCTTTTGCTAAGCAGCCGTGTTCCTCCTCACACCGCGACAAGGGGCGAGTGGGCCAAGCCAATAACGTTCTCTCTCGACGGGGCGTTCGTCGTCTCAGGTTGCCGCCCCAGGAAGCAAAAGCCACCCAAAGCCAATGTACAAGACGCGAACGCGAGCGGTTGCTTTTAAGAAGCAGGTCGGCGCTGGAAAAAGACCAAGCGCCCCCTCCCTCCCCCCGGGTGCTGACCGTTTCAAGTCTGGCCTTACTCCGAACAGTGGAAAAAAGGGGTGGAAGTCTCTCTCTCCCCCCAGGTCTGGGAAGAGGGAGAGGAGGGAAGGAGAGTCACCCCTCCAACTCCTTCCTCTTCGTCCCCATTTCCAGCCCCACTCACCATTGGAACAGCTGCTGTTCACCCAGAGCGGCTCCGGTCGCTCCATGTACTTGTCGCTGCCAAGGCTCAAGAGAGATCAGCGCATCCCCGGGCAGCAGCAGCAGACGCCAAGACGAGGCCGCTGTCGGAGGGCGCGGAGGCGTGTGTGCCAGCCGGATCGTCTGCCTTTCGCTGCTCTCCTGCTGCTGCTGCTGCTGCTGCTGCTGCTGCTGCTCTGCTCCTCCTCCGCCAGCGATGGGAGGAAGCCCGAGCCTCGCCCCAGCGTGTGGTGCTCCGGGCAAAACTAAGAGTGCACCTGCACCTGCACCAGCCGGCTGCTCCACTCCGTGTTCTTTCTCCTCCTGGTTCTCCCTCTGCCTGGCTCAATGCGCTTTTAGCTCCAGCTACACCTTTATTACAGAAGACAAGCAACTTGGCATGTCTTTCCCTTCCTTTTCCCTGCGTTTAGAAATTTATTTATTTCGATTTCTTAACTGCCCTTAACCGCGGTTTACAACAACATAAAATCCAATACAACTTTTAAAACCAGTTAAAACTACAAAAATTCCATTCTAAAACATTCAGCATAAGTATTTAAACACTTTAACAAGATGGCACGATTAGCGGTCAGATTTTCATTATTTCCATGAGGGGGAGGGGAGGGTACTGGGCAGATGTAGAGAAACTGTCACTGGCCTCAACCAAAGGCCTGGTGGGACATCTCTACCTTGCATGCCCTGTGGAACTTTAATAGATCAGACAGGGCACAGTGAACCAGTGCTTATATACAAACACTTTGTATGGTAACCATTTAAGTCCATGTTGTTGAGGTTGTTTTACACATTCTCACACTGCCTTATGGGAAGTGTATTCTCATCCCATATAATTTAATTATCTGACCTGACCATCTATGATCCTGGAAGAAAACCTAAGAAAAAGATGAAGCATACTTGTTGTATTGAAATTTCCCACTTTTGTTGTCCCACTGTAATATATCCTAATGATATGTTTATACAATCACATACATTTAATTTTATGCAAAACCCGAGACCATAGTTTTAGAAAAAAGAAACACATATTTGGAAAACATGAAATAATTAGTACTGGATAGTAAAGGATGGAATGAAATGACATGACAGGTGTGCTGGCCTGGAAAGATTCTCAAATTATTAATTAGAGTGATAATTAGAAGACAAACTATCTGAAAGTCCAGAAACCTATGCCATGCAATAGATGGGTATAGTTGAAGGAAGCTTGATATTTTTACAGATTAGAATGACTGAAAGCTCTATGTCTGCAATTCACATGACACTTAATTTAATGTGTGAAATTTGCCACTATTGGTATTGTATTTGCTATCCCAATAATCCTATATGATGGATCATTATTAGCCTCATTTTATAGTTGGGAAAATGAGCTCAGTACTAACTGGCTCAAGATTACACAATAGGAAGAAGATGGATTAAAGTCTGTAAAGTGGTCATCTGTGTTAATGTTGCTGTTAGGGTTGACAGCTCTGTGCTGGCAAACCCTGGGAGGTTTTTAACGGATGGAGCTTGGGAAAGTGGAGCATTGCTGAGGTGGTGATGTCACTTCTCTGTGAATGTCACAGCCCCTCCCACTCTAGAATTCCCCTAATCTCTACAAGGATGTATATTGTCACCTTGCTTATTTAATATATATGCAGAGTACATCATGCGAAATGCTGGCCTGGATGAATCACAAGCGGGAATTAAGATAGGTGGGGAAAAGATCAACAACCTCAGATATGCAGACGATACCACTCTAATGGCAGAAAGTGAAGAGGACCTAAAGAGCCTCTTGCTCAGGGTAAAAGAGGAGAGCGCAAAAGTGGGCTTGAAGTTCAACATCAAAAAAACTAAGATCATGGCATCCGGCCCCATCACTCCTTGGCAAATAGAAGGGGAAGTCGTGGAAGTAGTGACAGACTTCACGTTCCTGGGATCCCAGATCACCGCAGACTGTGACAGCAGCCATGAAATTAAAAGATGCCTGCTCCTTGGGAGGAAAGCGATGGCGAACCTAAACAGCATGATAAAAAGTAGAGACATCACCCTGCCAACTAAAGTCTGCATGGTCAAAGCAATGGTATTCCATTGTCTGGGAACAATGGGTGCAGCTGACAGCCAAACTGCTGCCAGCACCTTCCCCTACCCACCTGTTGGGGCAACTGAGGTCAGGGGTCTGGTATTGGGGCTGGAAGCAGCAGAGGCAGTTGGAAATTAGAGCTCAGTGCTAGGGTCCAACAACATAGTTGCAGTGAGCTATAAGAAGACCCCATAACACTCATGAGTGGCTACTTTTACTCCTCTCTCCCATTGAAGCAACTTCCTCATGCTTCACCCGGCAGCAGGTGTTATGTACGTGGACCTCCACCAGGGGTCTGCGGACTGGCCAGAGCTTGGATCCTAGAACAATGGAAACTTCGGATCCTGGATCCCCCAGCCCCAACCAATAGCCACCTTGGCGGGACATTTAAACCCTCCAATGAGAGTGGGGGGTGGCTGGGTGGATATGTATATAGTTGGCCCTGTTGGCCGTTAGAGTTAGTCTTTGTTTGTGTGAAGTACAATAAACGTGTGCTACAGTATGTCGTCGTCCGAGTTCTCCATGCAGTGAACCCAGTACTTTTCAGCAGGCTTTGTTACAAGTTAACACACCAAAATTCACTCCCGTGCCCCATCACAGGATACATAACCTCATTGTGCCTTGTGGTCCAAGCCTCCAGTCCTCCAGGGGTGGGATGGGGGTGCCATCATCCAAGAGCAGCAGAGGGAAGAGATGCTGGCAGACTGCACCTTTGTTCCCAGCAAAGGGGGTAAATGAGACCCCTTCTTTGCCAAGAGAGAGCTGATGAATGCCAAGCACCCTTTCAGCCTGCTCCTTTCAATGTGAGCTGTGCACCAGGACAAGCCTTCAGCCTGCAGGTCTGTGTTCCCTACCCATTCGATGATGGGCCAACCGCTGGAGTGGGCTGTGGGAAGCTGCTTGAGAGATGAATGGCTGGCAGCCAGCACTGGGCCCCATTTGCCCCAAAGCATCTTTGCTCCCCCCATTCTGCCCAGGCACAATTAGCCCCTCCAGCCTATGGAGCCCATCTTGGTTGAACAAGCATGAGCAAAGGAATTTGAAGGCAGAAGCTTGCATGCCATGGTGTTGGATCCCCAAGCATCGAGAATAAATCCACGTTTTCAAGAAAAGCAAAATTTATTTCAAAGCGTTGGAAAGACACTCAAACACGTTCTTTGTTAGAACTGGGGATACACAGGTAGGGCAAGCATAATAAAGGAAATTCAAACAGACACAGATCCAATGAATAACATTCCCGCTGGCGGGCTAAAGAAACGGTTGCGCGCCCAGTCCATGAGAACCAGGCAGAACATCAGACAAAACACAGGTGCAGTTCCCAAGCGATAATCAGTGGCAAGCATTACAGCATCCTCTCCTCCACAAACCCTCCAGTAGATTATCTTAGGCATTCCAGCAGAGAAGCAGAATAACAAGCCGGGTGCAACAGGGGAAGGATATGTACACAGAGGTCATAGAAACATAATGGCAGCTTGCTGACATACTGCCCCCCCAAAAATACATCTTAAAACACACCTCCCGGGTCGGGCGGGAGATCTCCCGGGCTGGGCGGGAGAACTCCCGGTTTGTCCGGGAACTTCCTGTGGAACCCGCGAATCAAGTAAGGGGCCCGAATATCCCCTTCTTCCACCCATTCACGGTGCTGGGGACCGAAATCCACCCATTCAATAAGGTACCAGAGTTTACCACGTTTCAATTTACAATCAAGGATGTCAGCGATTTCAAAATGTTCACCACCTTCCAGAATAACAGGTGGAGGAGGAGTAATCGATGGTCTCCAGGGAGACGGACCAGGATCTTTCTTCAATAAACTCATGTGAAATACAGAATGCAGAGCACGTAAATTTTTTGGCAAAACCACATCAACCGCAACATCATTTATGACTTTACGCACTTTGAAAGGCCCAATGAACTTCCATCCCAATTTCCTGCTAGGCCTCAACATCTTAATGTTCTTGGTTGAAACATAAACAAGGTCCCCAGGTTTCAGATCAAATCCCACCACCCTACCCTTGTCTGCCTGGGCCTTGTAAGCAGCTTTAGCTGCATTAAGTGTCTGGCATAGCAGAGGCCATGCGTCCTGTAAGGAAGTACACCAAGAATTAGCATCCCCAATGGGACGTTGGCCCATCCCCTCCAGAAAAGGAAGGGGGGGCTGTCGTAACCAGAGACAGCTTTGTAAGGAGACATGCCCGTGGAGCTATGTACAGTGTTGTTATAACAATATTCAGCAAGAGGCAACAATTCACACCAATCATTTTGTTGATAATTAGTAAAACAACGAAGATATTGTTCCAGGGTCTGATTCACTCTCTCCATTTGGCCGACAGTCTCAGGATGATAAGCACTGCTGAGCCCTTAGTAAAACAACGAAGATATTGTTCCAGGGTCTGATTCACTCTCTCTGTCTGGCCGTCGGTCTCGGGATGATACGCACTGCTGAGCCCTTGCTCCACCTGAAATAATCTTAGCAGGCAATTGATGAATTTTCACCACGTGAGACATAAACGACTTTGCCAACTTCTGTGCCGTAGGCAAGGAAGGAAAAGGCACAAAATGAGCCTGCTTAGAAAACAAATCAACCACCACCCAAATAACAGTGTTCCCTTTGCTCACAGGGAGGTCAGTTATAAAGTCCATGGAAA